CACACACACACACACACACACACACACACACACACACACACACACACACACTCTCCCCTTCTGCCCTGTGGGGCTGACCACTGTTCACCTTTCAGGGCCTGGCTCTTCCTCCTAGCAGTTTGTTACTTTGTGTTTTCTTTGCAGCGCTTGACTACATCTCATCCTGGAGAGCAGAGGGAGACAGTCTTGCAAGCCTACATCGGCAATGACCTCCTGGATTGTCACAGCCACAACCAGGTTGGTAAGAGGCAGCCAGGGCCTTCCATGCTAGGGAAGGACCTTAACAGACTCAGCAGACTGTGCAAGGCTTTGGTTTCTGTAGATACTGTCAGTGTGCTGACATTACAGAGTTTTGCTAATCAGCTGCTTACCGTCTGTGTTTACCTCTTGCCCTACTCTTCCATCCTGGAGGAAGATTCCCAAACAAGCCAGATGGCCTCTCTGCAGCTCTTTTCTATTAGTTTTCCCTTTCCCCTCTTCCCCCTCCTCTCTTCCCTCCTCTCTCATGGAGTGTTCTACATTTTCAGAATCCACACTCAGTGTGTTGCGATAGTGGTTTTTGTCAAAGTGCTACAGTCTTTGTACCCATGAAGAATGTAATTCCTTCAAGTCCGTTATATTATTTGTTTAGTTGTTTTGTTTTGGTGGTGGTGTTTGTGTTAGGGTCTCACACACTTCAGGCTGGCTTCAGATTTTCTGAAGAAGACCTTGAATTTCTGGTTTTCCTGTCTCTGCAACCAGCTGGATTAGAAGCTTGTGTTCATGCCTGGCTTACATGGTGCTGGGGACCAAACTCATGCTCACTAGACAAGCGTTCTACCAACCGAGCTCATCCCCAGCCCTGGTTCATTTCTTTTAAGAAGGAGTGATCTAGAGTTCTCTCAAGATACCGGAGAACCTGCAGGGTGGGACAGCTCCTTGGTGACGCCAATGCTGGGCCGCCATGACTGCCAAGTGGACTGGCCTGTTCAGAGGGAGACTGAGCTGGCTGGCTAATTATTTCTCCCTTAGTGGGCCTCAAAGTTTAGGGTCAACCTGAAGGTCTCATTAAGATTTTACAATAGGTGATTGAAGGTGCAAGCCTTCAATCCAAGTGCTCAGGAGGCAGAGGCAGGCAGATCTCTGCGAGTTCGAGGCCAGCCTGGTCAGAGTGAGTTCCAGTACAGCCAGGGCTACACAGAGAAACCCTGTCTCAAAAAACAAACAAATGAGACAAAATAAAAAAGAAAGAAAGAAAATAAGAAAGAAAGAAAGAAAGAAAGAAAGAAAGAAAGAAAGAAAGAAAGAAAAAGAAAGAAAGAAAGAAAATGTTAACTTGGACTGGAAAGACGGCTTAGTCATTAAATGTTAGGCTCACAACCAAGAGCTTCCAGCACATTAGAAGTTTCTAGGTTGCAACCTCTTTCCTTTAATAAAGAAATAACCACCAAGCCAAGTGTATCATTAATCATACGACTCAGGAGGCAAAAGTCTACATAGTGAGTCCAAGATAGTCAGGGCTATATCCATTTTGTCTCAAAAAAAAAAAAAAAAAAAAAAAAGCAAAATAGCCACCACCCCAACTGTTTAATTTTTTTTTTTTACAGTATTTTGCCTGTATTTGTTCCTGCAGGCCAGAAGAGGGCACCAGATCTCATTATAGATGGTTATGAGCCACCATGTGGTTACTGGGAAATGAACTCAGGACCTTTCGAAGAACAGCCAGTGCTCTTAACCTCTGAGCCATCTCTCCAGCCCACTATTCCAATTTTTAAAAGTTACAGTATAGTACTAATGATATGAAAATGAAAATTACCATTTTATTCCTTTTTGGAAGTGGGGTAGGTTGTTGTGTTTCAGACAGGGTCTTTGTAGCCCTGGCTGACCTGTAAATTATGTAGATCAGGCTGGCCTCAAACAGAGACCCACCTGCGTCTGTCTCCAGAGTTCTGAGATTAAAGGTGTGCACCACCATGCTATCTAACCCTTTTTTATTTGTTGTTTTATTTTTTGTTTGTTTTTCCAGATAGGGTTTTGCTGTATAGCCTTGGCTGTACTGGAATACACTTGGTAGACCAGGCTAGCCTCGAACTCACAGAGACCCACCTGCCTCTGCCTCCCAAGTGTAAGATTAAAGGCATATCCCATCACTTCCTGGCCTAATCCATTTTTAAATATATTTATTTTTATTTTCCATGTATGAATGCTTTATCTATGCGTGTGGAATTGCATTGTATACATGGCTGGTGCCCATCGACACCAGAGGAGAGTGCTGGAATTGAAGGTAAGGCTGGTGCTGGGGACCGAACCTTTGTCCTCTGCAAGAGCAGCAAGTGCTTCTTCTAACTGCTGAGCCTTTTCTCCAGCCTCCATTTTCTCCATTTTATATTATTTTAAAAGATGTATTTATTTATTACTTATACATGATTCTGTCTGCCTGTACATGTGAAGGGCAGAATGAGGCACGGATCTCATTCTAGATGGTTGTGAGCCACCATGTGGTTGCTGGGAATTGAACTCAGGACCTTTGGAAGAACAGCCAGTGCTCTTAACCCCTGAGCCATCTCTCCAGCCCCATTTTATCCATTTTAAAGTATATATTTTAGTGGCATTAAAAACATTTATAATATCCTGGGTAAGTGACTCAGCAGCTGAGAATGTTTCTGCTCTTCCAGAGGACCTGAGTTTGCTTCCTAACCCATGTGAGGCAGATGACAGTTGTCTGCCACTCCAGATCTGATGACCACCTCTGGCCTCTGAGTGTACCTGCACATATGTGGCACACACACAAATAAAATGTATATAAAAATAATGCATTGATAATGTTGTACTCTTATCTCCATCATCCATCTCCGTTATAATCCTTTGCAAAACTGAATTTCTGTCCATTAAAGAGCCAACTTTTTATTCCCAAGCCTTGGCATCCAACAGATTAGTCTACATTCTATCCCCTTAACTTGAACTAGCTCGGGGCCTCATGTAAGTGGAAGTGTGCGGTGTTTGATGTTCTGCTGGCGGTCTCATCTCAGTGCAGTGTCCTTAAGTCTCACATGCTGTGATATATGCCAGAATTTCTTTTTTTAAGAGTGAATATCAGACTTTGCAGCCAGTCCTGAAGATACCTGATAAAACAGGGTCAGATGAAAGGGGAGGAGGTCCTCCCCAGTCAGTGGACTTGGAAAGGGGCAGGGAGGAGATGAGGGAGGGTTGGTGGGACTGGGAGGGGATGAGGGAGCGGGATACAGCTAGGATACAGAGTTAATAAAATAATAAAAATTAAAAAAAAAAAACTACAGCAAAAAAAAAAAAAAAAAAGAGAGTGCCTATCATCCTGCTCTATGGCTAGCCCACTGTTTTGTCTGTTCATCAGTCAGTGGGCTTTAGGTTGTTTCCATCTTTGGTGTTGATAGCACTGCTGTAAAGTAACTGTACCCATCCTGAGTCCTCTGCTAATAGTGTCCCCTTTTTCTTGTAGCTTCTGTGGTGTGTGTGTGTGTATACACTGAACGTAGAGTCTGCTTTTGTCCTTTGGCAAGCAGAAACCTTGCTCGGTGACACCGCCTAGGAAGAGACTCCCAGTCCCACTTAGTGCTCTTTCTCATCCCCTCTGGGGATGTTGGTGGTCAAGGTCAAGAGGCAGTCACAGGAAACAAGGCCTCTGGTAGGACTGAAAGACCAGCTGGGTGCCTGTTGTCCTGCAGCAGTGTGCATGGACAAAAGGCGAGGTGAACTGCCCTGTATTTTGGCTCTTTTGTTTTCTATGGACCGATGAGTTTAGTTAGGGTAACCAGCAAGAACACAGCCACCCTAGTCTTGCTGAAGAAAATGTCCCCTCTTCCCAAACGTTGATTGCACAAAGATCCTCATAGCAGCAGGATCTTGTGAGCACCCTACCTGAACTATCACTTTTTTTAAAATGGGGTTTTGGTATGTTGCCCCAGGTCTCAAACTCCTGGGCTCCTGGGATTCTGGCATCTAAGTCTCCAGTTTAGCCTTGACTGTGGGCAGCTAGCTTTGCATTTGGCTTTTAAGTCACCTGGTCACCTGGTCTATTTCTAGTCCCTAGGAGCTGATCTTATGAGGACACTTTGTAGGGTCGCAGTGGATCCACACTGTAGGGTGCAAAAGCAGGATGTGGGACTCATCAGCACAAGGTCAACTTTGTCCAAATGCAGACAAGCGTCTGGGCTGACCACATTGGGAGTTTTGTTCTTTTTAAAGTGTGGTATACAGGATGTCTTGTGTGTGTGAAGCTGCAGCCAGCAGAAGTCAAGCAGCCTTGCAGCTATTGGATACATAGCCTCTTTTGAGAACTTTAGTTCACAAAGCTCAAAAGCTTTGAGAAAAAAAATACACATTCAACAGAAATGTCCTAACTCTGTTCTGTCTTGTAAATATTAAGTAACTAAATTTATTGGGGACAGATGGGTAATATTTTACAGTCATGCCCAGGTTTGCACATAGGAAATAAGTGTGTAGCCTCGGCTATCTTAGCTACTATAAAGCCAAGTATTAATAGTGATTTAGGTATAATCAGGAGAAGCCATTGTAACTCCAGTGAGGAGGAGAAAGGAAGAATTCTGACATCCAGACACTACTATGTGCAGAGCGTTCAGTATGTGCCTCTTCATAAGACATCTTGGCTAGACTTACACCACCTTGTAACATGAGCATAACTTCTCTTTTGCAAGTGAGCAAATAGAGGCTCAGAGTTGAAGTATAATGCTGTAACCTAGTTTCATTTCTCTTGCTGTGGTAAATGCTGTGACAGAACCAGCTCGGGGGAGAAAGTTCGCTCTAGCTCACACGTCCATCTTTGGCAACAAGTCAGGGCAGCAGCAATGTGAAGCAGCTGGTCGCAGCCATGGTCATGCAGAGGAAATGGGTGCATGCTGTGCTCAGCTGTTTCTTCACGCTCACACAGCTCAGGGACCTGTGAGGAACAGGGCCTGCCCATAATTAAAATGGGTCTCCCCACATCAATTAAGATGATCCCCACAGGCATTCACACAGGCCAACCTGATTTGACAGCCACCCATTGAGTCTATCTTCCCAGGTGATTTAGAGTGTGTCAAGTTGACAATTAAAACTAAACCACACACACTTTGTGAGACTCAGAATAACCAGGCACCAGTGTTTCCTCTAAGAAAATATTTTATTTTTGCTGGTCACATTTTTTTTTTTTAAACAAGGAGCAAAGTTTGGACTGGGGAGATGGCTCAGTGGTAAAATGCAACACAGCATGGACTCCCGCCACCTGTGTTAAAAAGAAGGCTGGCAAACTGCCTGGGTGCTGCCACACTGATCCCAGTGTAGGGGAGGCAGAGACAAAGGGTCCCTGGGGCTTGTTGGCCAGCCAGTCCACCCAAATCAGTGACCCCAGGCTCCGTGAAAGACCCTGTCTCAAAAAATAATCTGGAGAGTGATTGATGAAGACACCTCTGGGCTCCACATGCATGCATTTGCGCCCCCCCCCCCCCCCCATATATGTGCCTATACAAACAGCAAAAAGAGAAAGCAAATCTAAGGTTAAATACTATTGTGGCTGCTTGTCCACTGATGTCAAGGTCGGATGATCATGTATATGACACTGTTCCAATCCCATGAGCCCCCCCTCCCCAAGCGATGTTTTCATCAATCAGGAGAAAAATGTGGTAGGAACTCAGTATCAGGGAGGTGTCTCTGCTGTTTCCTGTGGTAACATGATACATGACATGGTTCAAATCGGGGAAGGGTTTTCTAAGCTCTTGCTTTGAAAACAAAACACAAAACCAAGGTTAAGAGTTAATGTCTGTTAGAAGCTTTGAGATAATTGTTTGAGGGGTGTCCTGGAAAGGCCCCTGGGCTATGAAAATGTCACTTCTGGACTTGGTTAGCTGTTAACCGCATGTTCACCATGAACACTCTTCCGGCTGTACCTGGTGAGATGTAAGTTCTTGATACTGTTATGCTGCAGTGAAAACGGGTGTAAATAAAGATGACACAAAAACAGCTGGCATCTAAGGGATGGCATGTAGCCTTTCACTCGTCCTGGCTCAGCGGTACCTCTCCCTATCTGCTACAGAGCAACCAACCAAGAGTCTTGGTGCCCCAAACTCCTGCCGGCTTTTCCTTGTTCTTCTCTCCTGATTGATGCTCTTTCCAGCTTCTTTCTTTCCCTCTTCCTCCCCTCCGTTCTCCTCTGTTCTGACACAGTGTTCTGAATGCTCTACCTGTAAGTTACATTCCAGCCACTGCTTTTTAAGACTTGTGTATGTGTGTGCGTAAGATTGTTTGCCGCCTGTGTGTATATGTACCATGTGTATGCAGTGTCTGAGGAGGTTAGAAGAGGGCATCAGAGCCCCTAGAACTGAGGTTGCTCATGGTTGATAGCTGGCATGTGGGTGTTAGAACCCAACCCAGGTCTTCTGCAAGAGGAGCAAGTGCTCTAACTGCTGAGCCAGCTGTCCAGCCTCACAGCCACTGGTTTTTGAGTGTGTCTCCCTATAGTCTGGGCTGACCTCAAACTTGAGATTGTCCTGCCTATGCCTGTCGGTGCTGGGTGACAGGCACGCACCGTCACTATGGCTTCCTCTCTGCATCTTGGTAACTCCCTGCTCGTATGAACCTGGTATGCCCAATGCTGAGACACTGTCTTACCCTCTCAGGATAATCCTCCCTCTATGTCCCTGTGCCGGAAGGCAGCACAGTACAGTCTAACCTTTATTCCTGTCTTCTGTTTGTCTGTCTGTATCATCCCTGCTTTGTCCCTAGCCTTCTAGTCTTTTGAAGAATAAGTGGTAGAAGTCGGGGGATTTGTCCTTGCCCAGTACTGCCTTGTGACTGACCTCAGAGTCTGCATCATCTTTCTAGAGCTGTGCTGTTGACATTTCTCATGGCGTTCAGTCAACTCTTCAGAAATAGTGTCTTTAAGAAGAAATCCATTTACTGTGGTCCTGTCATGTTTGGAGAGGGCTCACTTAAATGTGTGTTTCCTCACCTGGAAAGCCAGCAGCAGCAGCAGCCACATGTGCCCTGCTGTTCTAGAGGCTTAGAGTACTTAATCCACTCAATCTAGAAGTCGGGACGGCTTCCCTTTGCCAAGTGTCATCAGGTTCTGTTTGGAAAGCAAGAGTTGCAGGTGAAGTGTGTGACTGTAGCCACTGTAACCTGTTTCCCTGTAGTCAAACCAGGCAGAGGGGAGGTTTCTGTCTTCCCTGCCTCCTAACCTCCCTGATTGTTCCCTCAGCGGAGCGTGCTGCAGCTGCTGCACTCCAAGAGCGATGCTGTGCGTCAGTACATGGCCAGGCTCATCAATGCCATGGCGTCCCTGGCCGAAGGTGAGAACACGTTTTCCTCTAAGCAGAGCAGCCTGGCAAAGTAGCCTGATGTCCCTGTAAAATGAGTGTTTTCCAGTGTTGCTGAAAGTAGCCTAAGTCTCTTCATTTTATCTCTGTTCTTCTACTATATCTTATGAAAATTGGTTCTTATGCCTGAGTTCCCCTCAGAGCAAATTTTCTTGCCTTTAGAGTTTATTTTATAATACATAAAATCTTATAACTCTTATTTAAATTGTTTTTAACTGCATATTAGGTAACACTTTTTCTGTAATTCCTACTTGCAAAATAAGTTTGGTGAAGCAAGTAAAGCATTTTCTAGCAAGCACTGCACCATTTCTTATGGACTTTAAAGGATCTGAAAATTTCAAAAATAATAACACGTTGTAACTGAATTAAAAGTCAGTCTTACAAAAGGCCATTATCGGGGAAGATTGAATGGCTTATCTAGTAAAAGCTCTTGTGTATACCTAATGACCTGAATTTGATCCCTACAACCAACTAACAAATGGATCCCAGCGTTTCTAGAGTGAGATGGGAGGCTGAGACAGAATTGTTTGTGGGACAGTACCATGGCAGGGCAACAAGAGAGACACTGCTTCAGAATAAGGTGGAGGAAAGAACTGACATCCAAAGACTGTTCTGTGACTTCCAGGCGTATCCCACAGCACCCATATGCCCACATTCACAAACGTACATCTCATACACAGCCTTGCTTGCATTCTTATTTGTTTGGGTTTTGGTTTTATTTTTTGAGACAGGGTTTCTCTGTGTAGCCCTGGCTGTCCTAGAACTCGCTCTGTAGGCCAGGCTGGCCTCGAACTCACAGAGATCTGCCCTCTTCTGCCTTCCTAGTGCTGGTAGTATGCACCATCACACCCCGCCCCATTTGAGGTATTTTTAATTTAAATAAAAAGAATTTTAAGGTTATGAATAGCAAGTTTATTATTTTGTTCAGTTGACAAACATTTATAAGTCAGCGTATGCACTGAGAACAATTCATGTCATAATCCTGTTTAAAAATAATATCTGTCAATGCTGAAATCTACAAAAGGTTAGTGGTGACCTCATACTTACTAAGGTGTCCCAGAGAGGGCTGCACCCCCATGGGGCCCTGAGACGTCCGAAAGAAACGAGGGAGGAGGAGGTAGAAGCAGTTCTTGCCTGCCTGTCCTTTGAAGGCCAAGGGGCTCACAGGATGGCTCCATTCCTCTTCTCTCCTTGTAGGTCCTTCAGGTTTAGGATGTCACAGACTCTGACACTGGCTTATGTTCCGCTTACAGGAAGAAAGGCTTCTTATTGGCTAGGTCACTGATGAAATAAACTGTTCTGAGACAGGGTCCCCCTATGTATGTACTAGCCTGGCCGTGAACTTGCAATCCTGCCATGGCTCCCTAGTACTGAGATTAGAGTACCATCCCACCTGGCTCAGAAAAATACACTTCAATAATTTCTTCTAGAACTTTGTATTGTATCTTATGCAGATCTTTGTTAGAAAGCAGCCTTCGTGCACAACAGGTTAATTCTTTACATCTTTCCCATTTTCACCTCTGGCATATTATTAGGTCGCCTCTACCTTGCCCAAAACACAAAGGTGCTGCGGATGCTGGAGGGAAGGCTGAAGGAGGAAGACAAGGATGTCATCACTCGTGAGAATGTCCTCGGGGCCTTGCAGAAATTCAGCCTCAGGTGAGGCCCATGCCATTGGTCAGTCTCTGCCTATGAGCTCAGGCTGGTGTGTGTGAGTGTTGTTGTGTTTGTATGTTGTTGTTGTTGTCGTCATCATAGTCATTGCTGTTGAACCACCACTTTATTTAATTCTCAATACATCTTAGGATGCAGGTGATGTCTTTCTGCTGACACTTAGGGGAGAGGTTAGATGACTTTCCAAGCTAGAGCTGGAAACTTCTGTCTAATCTAAGCTCTGCTGTTCAAGGCTGCTGGGGACAGAGGAAGACATTACAGTGAGTGTACCACTGCCTTCCCCTAGCCAGTCATTGGTGCCAGCCAGACGCTTGGCTTAGGGGTGAGCACACAGAGTAAAGTAATTTCCCTTACATACAGTGTGACAAGGAGCTCCTGGTGCACGTCCCAGAAAACTACCTAGAATCTTGGTCTAGACCTGGCATGACTCAGAAATGCTACAGTAGAACTTTCTCTTTTTTCTTTTCTTTTTTTCGAGGCAGGATTTCTCTGTGTAGCCCTTGCTGTCCTAGAGCTCGCTCTGTAAACCAAGCTGGCCTTGAACTCACAGAGATCTGCCTGCCTCTGCATGCCTCGTGCTGCTGCTACATTAGAACTTAAAAGTCATGGGTTTTTTTTTCTTAGACATTTATTTTCAGACTCATGTTATATGAGTGTTTTGCCTGTATATATGTGTGAGTACCTTGTGTATGCCTGGTGCCCTCGGAGGTTAAAGAGGGTGTTGCATCCCTGGAACTGGAATTATAGATGACTGTGAGCTACCGTGTAGTTGCTGGAACCCAAACCCAGGTCCTCTGGAAGAGCAGCAGATGTGCTCAGCCACTGAGCCCTCTCTCCAGCCCTTCATATGCTTTTGAACCAGATCTAGTATCTTCTTAGTTAGGTATGGTAGTACCTGCCTTTAATCTCTGGGCGGGGGAGGCAGAGGCAAGCAGATCTCTGTGAGTTTGAGGCCAGCATGGTCTACATAGAGAGTCCCTGCCAGCCAGTGCTAGCTACAGAGTAGGACCTTATTTCCAAAATAAAATCATTTTATTTTATGCATATGAGTGTTGTGCTTGTATGTACATGCAACATGTGTGTGCCTGGTGCCATACGTTAGAGGTCAGAGGAGGACACCTGATCCCCTATGACAGGGGTTATGTATGGTTCTGAGCCATGATGTAGGCGCCGAGAACTGAACCTAGATCTTCTGCAAATGCAACAAGTACCTTTAACTGCTGAGCCATTTCTTCAGCCTCAAGTCACCACCATAAATGGACAAGCCTGGTTTTCACAGATTTGCAGAGGTCTGCAGCCATCACAGCCTAACTGTAGAACATATTTCCCATTTGTTTATTGATGTTTGTGTTGTGGAGGTCAGAGAACGATTTGTAGGGATCAGTTCTGTCCTTCCACCATGTGGGTTGCAGAGGTCAAACTCAGGTCATCAGGCTCGGCTGCATGAGCCACTTCTCCAGTCCTAATTTGAGAGCATTTCTGTCACTACAGAAGAAAGCTCACACTAATTGTCACTCTTCATTCCATCCCCAGCCCTGGGCAGCTCCCCGTATTCCTCTGTAACTCTGCCTGTCTTGTGCATGATTCCATGTAAGAGGAGCCCCACAACTGATCTTGTTTTTTCAAAGTACTATTTCTGTGGCCTGTTGCCTGGGTCAAATAAGCCAAAGCTATTGATAACATTTATGGATTTGAAGTAGCAGTCTGCTAATTTTAGATACTGATCTTTCTTTAAACTATTATGTCCTTAAAAGGTAAAGAATTTTTATTGTCCCAATTGACTGGGCTTAATGATAGATGTTCCCCACAGTCTGTTCATAGCTGTATTCGATCCCCATTTGCACTGAGGAACACTCTTCCATGGAGAGTCCCTTGCTAGTTAATTGATCTGATAAGGCTGTTTCCTCTTAGGCGCCCATTGCAGACGGCCATGATTCGCGATGGCCTCATCTTCTGGCTGATTGACCTTCTGAAGGACCCCGACTGCCTGTCTGACTACACACTGGAGTACTCTGTGGCTTTGCTCATGAACCTCTGTCTCCGCAGTGCAGGTATCCTAGCAGCCCCCCAGTCCTCCACATATGCACACACCCGCACACACGTGTCCTTCTATGGAGGATGGATGGGCAGGGGCTGCCCACAAACCTGCATTTCCAGTGAGCCCAGTAGGACTTGCTTTCTGTCTCCCTCATGGAAAATTTAAGACAGGGGTGAGTAAAGCATTTCCAGCTAGGTATGAAGATAGTCAGATACCACATTAATCTTGGAAAGAATATATATGCAGTTTTAAATGTACACAGCGCCCTCTGAGGAGGAGAGTAATCCATTCACATGTTCTTTCATCTTTGTTGTATTTTTCAAGCATAGGAAGTTAAGAGTTATGATCCCTGCCACTGAAGACAAAGAAGTGTGTTCCCAGTATTCTCTGGGGTTACGCTGATGGCAGGAGCAGTGACATTAAATCATGCTCCCTGCTCATTATTTTCCATCTCCTGGAGATGAAGGCTTACATGGGAACGGCAAGCTGCTTCTCACCTATTGGGAATGTTCCTCAGTTGGTAGAATGTTTGACTGGCAGGCACAAAGCTCACCTGCCATGTGAGGTGTCTTAGAAGCTGCACGTCCAGCTGGACTGCCTCTATGCCCTAGGGTCTGTGAGAAAGGGAGACGAGAAGCGAGAAGCCTGCTGGCTCAGCTGCCTGCCAGCTGTTCTTCACCTACAGGGCTTCGTGCTCGGAGCCACATGTGTGCTGTTCACTGAGTAAGCAGCTGCCGCTCGTTTTCCTGCCCCCGGAATAGTCTTCGTGAAAACCCCAGCTCACCTTTCCTGACTTTTAGCTTGCTTGCCGTTTGGTGATGTGCTTGGTGATAAAGAATGCCCACATAGCACATAATACTCTGACTGTCGTCATGGCTACCACCAGCTTCTGAGTTCTTGGGCTTATTTAATTGTGCACCTCCATTTGGAGCAGATGCTAATAATCTATTTTTGTTTGTTTGTTTATTTGAGAGTGGGTCTTTCTATGTAGCCCTGGCTGTTCTAGAGCTCCCTATGTAGACCAGGCTGGCCTGGAGCTCACAGAGACCCTCCTGCCTCTGCCTCCCTGGATTAATAGTACACACCACCAACCCCACCTGTTAGTTCATAAGCCTGTCTCTAGGTTGCCTAGCAACCTGATGTCATCACCCACACCACCAGTTGTGTGTGCGAGACGCCCCAGATATAAAGGACCTACCAGTCACCATGCCTGTCTGCTTCAGTTTCTCTCCCTTCCCTGTGTCTGTGGCGCCACCCCTCCCCATCTCTCTCTCTCTCTCTGTCTCTCTCCCCTTTCTTTCTCTCTTTCTCTATCCTCACCTCCATACAATAAATCTCTTCATACCAGATCTATTGTGTATGCCATTTGTAAATATATTACACCATCACCGACACGATCTGCTTTAAAGAGAACTGAGGTTCAGAGTGCCTAAGTGACTAGCTCAAAGCCACGCCACTCAACATGGTTTGTGCTCACTGTTATATGTGTGTTACCTGTTTCCACAGGAAAGAACATGTGTGCGAAGGTGGCAGGAGTCGTGCTAAAAGTTCTTTCGGATCTCCTTGGCCATGAAAACCATGAGGTATCCAGGCTGCTGGCCCCTGGGTGGACTGGGGGACTGTAATGGTGATCTTGGTGCTTGTGACCTCACAGGCAAGGGGCTGGCTTTGGGCAGCTGCTGTATTTAACATGTGCTCCTTCCTGGATTTGAGGGTCCTCTGCGTACATGCTTGCACACATGCATGAGTTTATGTGTGTGAGTACAGGTGTGTGTGGGTGTCCATGAAGGCCTGATTTTGATGTCAGATGTCTTCCTTGATGCTCCCCACTTTGTTTATTAAGGCCAGATCTGTGGGAGCAGGGAGCCTAGAGCTCTCCTGTTCTGCTAGTCCTGCAGAAGGATCCCCAGTCCCTGCCTCCCCAGTGCTGGGATTATAGGTAACTGCCCAGCTTCTACATTGGTACTATGATCTGCGTTCAGGGCATTCTGTCTGCATAGCAACATCTTACCCACTAAGCCATCTTTCCAACTCCTCCCTCCTCTGGCCATTTTTGTAAGCAATTGTATAGTTTCCAACATTTCATGCCTCACTTGTGGTTCCCTATCCCCACTGATCTAGCCAGGTTTCTTTCCCAGTCTCACTTACTGTTATCATCTGTCCTGGCTGGATTCTTACTCCTGTCTCCTCTATTGTTTAATGTCTGTCTCTGGACACATGTGCCTTTACAGTAGTTCTGGTGCCATGTTTGTGTGAACTTAATTTGTATAGAGCTATTCGGTTGATGGCAGTCCCCTGGTATTTGGGGACCTTTCTGCTTCCTGGGCCTCCTGTTCTAAGACTCACTACTGCAGTGCTCCCTGGCTTGCACCATGCCCTGGTACATGTCTTATTCCTTGTGGGCAGGCCTTTGATAGCTTAGGGCTCCATGGCCACAGTTGTCCTCTGTGACAGCTCTACACTTGTCCATGGAACCTTGCACTGAGCTTCCGTGGAGTATGTGGCTCATGGCTGCCAGCTCACAGCATATGCAGGGCTCGGGTTGCTGTCCAAAATGACCCTATTACCACCACAGCTGGTGGTGTTTTCTAGGCATTTTAAAATAGGAAACAAATTAACAAAAACTAATAGGTACAGGTATTCATCTTTCACTTGCTTTTTACAAATGTCTTTACAGAAAGACATACTGGCATCTCTCAGTAGCACAGCCTGGCCAGAGCCCTCTGTGTAGCTTGACCTTCCCAGGCTGGCCTCAAACTTTCGATTTTCTTGTCTCAGCCTCCAGAGTGTTGGGATAATGGCATCCCTTTGCATCTGCAGTTGAACCACATGAGACCTGTTTTGACAGATCAGCCACAGGGCATCCTTCAGCAGGCATGATTGGCAGGAACCTTAGGTCAAGAGGAGCACTAGGTTGCCATGCATCTGTTCCCATTTCAAGCAGGCAGCACTGGTCCAGTTCATCTCACATGCAGCTACATTCTCAGAGCTGCATCTACTGACTGACACTGGCAGTTTCAGTTAGGCTGGGTTTTTTCGCTACCTCAGTCCTGGCTTGATTGCTGAGACTCAGGCAGGTGAGCTGTGGGAATCACATTATTCCTGTGACTTAATTGAATGCAAATGGATTAGACCAAATGAGCCAGTTCATGTGATCGGCTGTTGTCAGTGTATTTACTTAATAACAATGGAGTCCTCATGTAACATGCATAGAGCCCTGCCTTTTAATCCAGTGCCACATAAACCAGGCCTGAAGTCTCATGCCTGTGACCTAGGACTTGGGAGGTGGAGTTAGGAGGGATAGAAGTTCAAGGTCATCATCAACACTATTATAACAGTGAAGCAAGCCTGTCTCAAAAAAAAAAAGAAAGAAAGAAGAAAGAAAGAAAGAAAGAAAGAAAGAAAGAAAGAAAGAAAGAAAGAAAGAAAGAAAGAAAAGAAAAGAAAAGAAAGGAAGAAACAAAGCAAGCATGCAAATGCATATGTGTATTTCAGAAGCTGGAATAGTGGGCTGCAGTAATAAAAGGTTGCACAGATGCATCCTGTGTTAGGTAGCGCTGGTCTTGAAAAATGAGAACCAGAGCCATCAGGAGCAAGAAGCACATTATTTGTCTGCACATTAATATTTTTGGTATGTGGAAAAAGAGGCTCTTATCAAATTGAACAGACAAGAAAGCTCAACTATATGGTAATTGGATCACAGGGCAAGCTTTAGAAGTGGGTCTACTTTAGAGACAATGTATCCTCTGTTATGACAGTGACATCTGAGCAAGGATAGTGGGAAAACAAGGGCTCTTAGCAATAATGTTCAGAGAGCAAACTGGGAGTAAATAGCAGAATCCACAATGACTCCCTGCGTTTCTAATCTGAGTGGCTGGGATGCTTGAAATCACATCAGTTTAAGTAGTGGCACACAGCAGGAAGAAGGTGGAGTGATGGATTTGAGTGTAGACTCAGTTGCAGCCGTCACAAACAAATGGAGGTGTCTCATGTGAAACATGCATTCTGGGTACGGGAGGCAGGGATACCAGCTCTTCCTTAAGTCTGTTCTTAAGTCTGGCTTCTGATAATTGAGTGGTATAGTATTTGAAAACTTGCAAATGACTGTGGTCTTTTTTTCTACCCTTAAAGATACAGCCGTATGTGAACGGAGCCCTGTACAGCATCCTTTCCATCCCGGCCATTCGTGAGGAGGCCAGAGCCATGGTAAGGGGGTGTGCTGAGCTGGACAGAGAGGTCCCCACACAGAATCTCAGTCCCTGGGAGGCTGAGGCAGGGAGATTGCTGCCAGTCTGAGCCCTGAGCAGTTCAAAGGCCCCTCCCAGCCCCATGAATCAGAGCTGTGGGGAGAGTACTGCTTCCACTTCCTCCAGGGCCTTCATATAGCTTACAGACTCTCTGAAACTGTAAAAGATGTATTTGTGGTTTTTCTCAAGGGAGAACTGGTGCTTTTTTCAGAATCTCAGGAGAACCCTAAGTTGTAAATGGTAAAGAGGCAGTGTTGGGGAAATTCTAGCAGGCTTATTTTTGTAGCATTGGACATGTTTCTGGGCAGTTTATAAAGCTGCCTTGCACCTCAATTACTGGTTGGTAGAGTTTTACTTTGTTTACCTTTGTGCTTATATTTGAGGCGCAGCAACAGTAGCTGGGCGATAAGTCTTATTTTGAGAGGACAGTTGTTTCTAAAGTGAGCCAGCAAAACCACGAAAGCTTTGACCTTCTTCCAGATGACATGTGAAACCAGAGTAGCTGTGTACATATTCAATTCTGTGGGGAAGGGATTAAATGTGTTTCCATACTCAGAACACAGGCGACCGCAAGAACATTCCGCCCATTGGTTTTGTTTTGTTTTTTTAAGAGAATTACTAAACCTTCTAGTTGTTTATCTAAAATCACATCAACAGTTAAACAAGATATGATTTATTTAAGAATTGTCTGTGTTAACACACCCACCAATGGCACTAAATTGCCTTCAACATTAAAACAAACTAGTGGGGTGGCAAGACACCCCAATGGATAAAGGCACCTGCCACTGAGCCTGACAACCAGAGTTCTATTCCAGAGCCCGGAATGGTAGAGAGAACTAATTCCTGCGAGTTATGCTCTGACTTCTCATACACACTGTGCACACGCGTGTGTACGCGCACACACAGTAGGTGCACCTATGGATGCTCACTGCTCTTGCTGGTACTAGGGCAGGTGCTTTTTCCCACTTAACCCTCTCAGGCCCCTGAAGGACTGCCTGCAGTTGTGTCCATTTTCTTGATGACTTTGAAGTAAGCCTCTCTGCTTGGAGTCATACAGCCAGGGGCCCCCATCCTGTGTTTACTTCCAGAGCTTTCCGCACCTCTGCTTCGAGTCACACCAGAAAGTAAGACCTCTGTTTCCCCCTCCTCCCTCTCTCTCCCATTCCCTGCATTTCCAGGGATGAAACTGATGTGGTTCCATTGGCTAAGAAAGCACCCTGCCACTAAGCCACATCCCAGCAGTGACGCAATCTTTAGTCCAATGAGAAATCAGGCCATATAAGATTGTTTTCCCTCTCAGTAATACTGTCTCCTCAGTCAGGACAAGCCAAACATACCTAACACAAAAAATCCAGACTACAGGGCCCAGAGAAATGGCTCAGCAGTTAAGAATACTTGCTTTGCCAGGCGTGATGGTGCAGGCCTTTAATCCCAGCACATGGGAGGCAGAGACAAACGGATCTCTGTGAGTTTGAGGCCAGCTAATCTACAAAGTGAGTTCCAGGACAGCCAGGGTAGTTATATGGAAAAACCCTGTCTTGGAAAACAAACAAAGAATATTTGCTGTTCTTCTTGAGGGTCCAAGTTCAGTTCCCATCACATACATTGGGCACCTCACACCCACATGTAACTCCAACACTATCCTCTAGCCTTTTAGGGCACTTTCACACACGTGGCTGGCACGTGTGCCACACACATTTACAGTTAAATAGATCTGTAACGCATATGTGTCACCTTAAATCTATGCATGAGAAGAGAATCACTGATGTGCATATTTAATAACAAATTCCAATCAATTAAAAAGTACAGAATCTAAAATACTCCAAAATCAGAAAGTTTTGAGCACAGACATGAAACCACAGGTAAAAAATTTACACCATGAAACTGTTTCAATGACAAAATTGTTAAAAATGTTGTGTAGCCAGATAGGGTAGTGCATGGTTGCAACATTCAGCACACAGAAACAGGAGGATCATGAGCTTGAGGCCAGTGTGGTCTATATAGTGGGAGTATCTCAAAAACAGCAACAGATTGGGAGACAGACACAGAGAAACATTGTATACTATGCAATATAGATAGACTATGTAAATTATCTTGAGGCTGCATGTAGCAGGGATGTGAAACTGTGAAACATAAAAGAGTTTTGCTTAGATCCAGGCCCCATGTATCTGTTATTGCTTTCACTATGAAATACTAGGTTTTGTTGTTTATTTTTGGAGTCAGGGACTCACTTTAGCCCAGGGAAAGCTGGAGCCCTTGGTCCTCTTGCCTTGGCCTCCTGAATACCAGGATTATAGGCATCTGCCACCACGCCCAGCAGAATACTGTTATTTTTTTTTATGCCTTTTCATTTCTGTAATTTAGATTAAATATTACCTATTATATGTGGTTTTTTTTTAAAAAATATGTGAGCTTTTTTACTGGAGTGTTTGCTGTGAGGTGTCCAAACAGTCCCCCTAACTACCGAGGGGCAGAGCTGTTTGCTTTCCATGTGCTAACTAAGCTGGACACGTAAGAACGAGCATCAGTTCGGCTCAAATGATCTATAAAGATACAGGCAGATAACCCTCTGAGAAGCCGCCTATGGGAAAAAAGGGGTGGAGTCCTTTGTCTCTGGCTGTTCCTGAGCTGCTCAGTGGCCAATGTGGTTACTGGCATGTTGTGACCTAGCACATAACTGTCTCCTAATAATAATCCCCAACTCATCCTTGTGGGGTGGAAGTGGGGGAGGACACTGTGTGAGGCACAGAGAGAAAGTGGAGCGCCTTCTGGCAGCCAAGGACTAAGGCATACTGTGGTTGTGACTACAGGAGGAGCCCAGATATCTGTCTGGCCCCACAAGCGTTGCCACAATGTCTCAGTCCTCTTTGAAACATTCTGTCCTTGCCTCCCAGACACTGTCAGTCTTTGGCATCTTCCAGACTCTTCCTTAATGCTCTACTCTCCCTCGGCTTCTGTCCCTGCCTCCTGTGGAATGCTGTTATTCTCTAAGGTTCTGGCCCAGCCCTCAGGAGCTTCTTACTATGCCTTGGGGGCACCTCATCTACTCCAGAGCATTGGCTGTGCTCTCTTACCTGCACCACAAGTCCCCTCCCGGACCCAGCAGGTGTCATTTCCCCACTCACTCAGCACCCCCGTTGCGCCATGCACTGGACTAGAAACCATCTATTAGGTATAATTTGCAGAAATGAAGTGCACAGGTCTTACAGACAGTTGCACACAGGCCTAACATCTGGTGTTTCTACCTTTTGTCTCATGTAGGAATTCTGGGATACAGATGAGTACTGCCCCATCTGGGCTCCAGGGGTCATACTCGGGTCACCAGGCTGGTGGTGCCAGTGGCTTTACCTCCTAGGCCATCTCCCTGGGCCTTCCATCATTCTTTTGATAAGATAGGAATTAGAATTGTTTGAAGAAAGCTTCTATTTGTTCAAAACATGTGGTTCAGCTTTTCAGAGATCATAAATGACCCTAAAATTCAGAAGGCATAAACGTAGGGGAACATGGGAAAGAAGTCATCTCCCCAAGCTGTGTTTCTCGAACTAAAGGCAGTGGTGTCCATGCACCCTGAGGGCTGGAATACAGGCATTGTGTACCCCAAGGACTGGGATATAGGCATCCAATGCAAGTTCATGATCTCTTTGGTTTTTTTCTAAGTGTATTATGATGTTATAATTAAATTGAGATACTCAACCAAGAAGAAAACAATTTCACTGTGAATTTTAAAGTGAATGTTTACTAACAAGCTGATGATTTTTATTTTAAATAACTTTTTTTCAAAATAAGAAAAAAAAAACTTTCTGGATTAGATGACTCTACCCCACTGAAAAGAAGTCCTTCACATCTTAACACCAGAATGTTTGCTGTCTCTTCACTGCACCTAGGGAATGGAGGATATCCTGCGATGCTTCATCAAAGAAGGCAGCGCCGAAATGATCCGCCAGATAGAGTTTATCATCAAGCAGCTAAATTCTGGTCAGTAGCATGCAAAATCTTCTGACTCTGTCACATATGTCAGAAAGATATACGGGCTTTCTCACAGAAGTTTGTGATACCTTGGAAGTCATTCAGGAGCTTCTGAGTCAGATATGACTGCAGACCTGCAATCCCAACGCTAGAGGGGCTGAAGCAGGAGGCTCGTCATGAGTTCAGGGCCACTAAACTGTTTAAGACCAGCCTACACTACATAGCAAAAACAGAACAAAAAATAAGCAGGAAAGAAAGCAGGGGAGCCAAGTTCAACACGTGAAAGTTCAATAACATAGCATTTGCCTGGTCTGCACAAAGCCCTGGGTCCAAATCTAGTAGCACAAACACAAACCACACACACATACCTATATGCAGAAATAACATACACCACACACACCTATACACACAGACATGCCACACATATACACGACTGCATACACACCACACACACAGGGCAAACCTACCACATACATACACATGCACACATGCATATACACCATACACACCCACACACCAGACCACAACGGGGTGACAGAGTGATGGAGATAGCTCTTATCACTAAAGTGCTTGCCTTGTAAGTATAAGGACCTGAGTTTGATCATGGCACCTTGTAAAAAAAAAAAGCCAGGCATGGGGACACACACAATTGTTATTCCAGAACTGGAGAACTGGAAACAGGCAGCTTCCTGAGGCTCACTGGCCAGTCAGCCTTGCCTAGGTCCCAGAGAGACATTGTCCCAACAAGGTGGACAGCCCCTGCAGAATGACATGCAAGGCTGACCCCTGACCTCCACACTCACACATACATGTGCATGTACACCCGCCCCCACAAGTTTGTCCTAGCAGTCAAAGCCAGATTGTCCAAGATTAACATCTCTTATCACAATAGAGATCTCTTATCACACTAGAGGTGTGTGGTCAACAAAAAAGAGTTCTGAGCAATTACTGAAGCTTTCTCTACCCTCGTTAAGATCTCTTTATGAGCCCCTCCTGTCCCCTCTTAAATCCTGTCCCACTGATAAGGGCGATAAGGGCAACTTTCCCAGGTTCCGTGGCCAGTTAGGGAAACAGATGCCAGTCTTTCTAGCACCATGTAGAAAATGCCACCATGTCACCATTCCAGAAAAATGTGTAGGTGCCACCTGTCAGCAGAGAGGATGGAGCTTGGTCCCTTTCTTTCCAGCCTCATCCATAGCCACGATGCATGTGTGGCAAAAGAACCAGAGAAGCCCTGTGTGAGGGGTTGGGAAGCCCCTGGCTCCTTCTGTACACTTTTGACAGGGGACCCAGGTGCTTCCGGCATCTGGGACCAAGTTTGTCACCCATCTCTCCCTATGCCTTCCCTGGCAGTAGCGGTTTAAGTACACAGCTCCATTCAGCACCCAAAAAGAGACAGAATGCCTCCGTCTCTCCTCCCAAGTGAACCATTCTGCCAACCCAGTGCACAGGGAAATGCCCATTGGTAGCCATCTGCCACTCACTGCTCCCAGTCTGGGATGTATCCAGACTAATATAATTATCATCCTGGGGGCCAGGGAAACTTTGAAATTCTCAGGTTGTCCCAGCAAAGTAGAGCACTAGTGAAGCCCAAAGGAAAATTTCAGCCGGTACAGAAACATACAGACTATGTAGCCAACAACAGAAGGGAAGTTCGTCCCCTGGCTCAGGCCTAGGCCACACTCCAGCCATCCATGAGGATAGCCAGCCCATACGAGCTCATCATGAGAGAAAGGCCAGAGATGCTAGCCAGTATACTGGGCAGGAGCAAGGCAGAGCAGGTCCCCAGCTTCAGGTGCTGAGGGCCTTTATAACGCAAGTACCAGCTCAGGAGGAGAAGCTGAGGCCTGTAAGGTACTCTGGCTCATGGGGCTGGAGGGTTCTGGGCAGTAAGGATGACTGAGCCAACAAGTTTAAGAGATTACAGGATTAGGGATTGGGGACTGGGCTGGGAGTCAAAGAGTGTCCAGCTAAGGTGCCTTCACATATGTGAGCATGAGGAGGATGTAATTGGTGACATAGCAGTAGTGTAGTTTTGAAAGGCATCTCCTCATGGTGGAGTATGCTATCCACGGGCAAAGAGAGGAACTTAGGTGATTAAAACTCAGCCAAATGTAGAGGGCAAAGCGCTGTCTGGACAGCCAGCAGGTCAGGAGGCTGTGGGATTGTGCAAGCACCAGTGAAGGCACAGACTGCTGTGTCTCACTGGCTCGGGAGCAGAAGTCAGTAGAGACCCTCCCTCAGCATGAGGCTGTGTCAGCAAGGGTGCTTCACTCTTGTAGTTTCCACCTGCCTCCTTCTCTCTGGGCTGGGCAGTCTCTTCAGTTTGGTCTTTAGTTCTCTCTTTTCTCTTGTTTCTTTCTTCTCTCAGGATTTTTTGACCTTCATGTCTTGCTTTTAAGAGATAAAAACTAGTGAAGATATAGTAGGGACCTAGGGGGTAGAAGTTGCTCAGGTCATCTGCCTTCAGGGACTTAGGACCTACAACAATGGGTGGGAAAAGATCTCCTAGGGTTCTCTTGAGGAGCAGAACCAATAGAGAATGAGTGTATAATTACACTCACACATTACAAAAGAAAATTTATCAGCTTGGCTTACATAATTAGAGGCTAGGTTGTCCCACAGTGATTGTTCACCTGCTATAGAGGCAAAGAACCTGAGAGTTGCTCAGTCCAACAACTGGAATCCTCAGAACAAGAGAGACCCTAATCCAAGGCTCAAGGCCTGGAAACTTCCAGGAGCCATTGGTTTGAGTCCATGCGCGAAAGGCTGAAGAAGGTAGAGCAGCCATAGACACCGTTGCTTGGAAGAACAGAGTTTGCACACTGGCTGGCTTTTGCTCACTTTTACCCCGCATGGATCCCCAGCCTGTTTAATGGGGCCATTCTCTTCAGGGTCTTCTATGCTCAGTTCCTGTCTTAACTGCCAATCATCTCTGCCAATGGCTTGCATTAGTCAGTTTTTGTTGCTGTTACGAGATAACTGACAGAAGCACGTAAGGAGGGAGGGGTCTCTTTTGGCTTGAAGGAACAATCCATCCCAGCCACATGAGCTTGAGGGAGCCAGCCCCATTGCATCTGCAGTGAGGAATCATGGAGCAGTGAATGCTGGTGCTTAGCTTGCGTTCCTTCTCTTTTTCATTCCGTAATTGGGCCTGTGAATAACATTGCCCACATTTAAAGTGTCTTCTTACCCAGTTGTTCCAATCTAGAAACTCCCTCGCAGAACTGCCCAGAGGTTTGTTTCCATGGAGAGTCTAAATCTCAAAGTGACAGTCAAGACTGACCATCAGTCTTCAGAGCCACACCTAGAAGTGAGTTTTTCTAATCTCCTAAGCATCTCTTAGTTCAGCTGGCTTGGTGATTAACCCCCCAGGGGACTTCCCCGGAAGTCAGCAGCCATTCACCCGCTAGGAATGGAGTCGTCCACAAAGGAGGGCGCTGTCTAGGTGCAATGAATGAGAGATGACAGCTGGGAGAAGGCTTCATGGGGGAGAAAGTAACTCTCTGGGGTGTTGTCTGCTATGCACCTGGTCCAGGTGCCTATGCACCTGGTACAGTCCCGGCGTGCTGTAAGATCATCCCAGCTCTTCCCCTCCCTCCTTTCTCAGGCCCCAAGGAAGTAAGCAACCTGATCCCCACTTGCCAGGTGAGGAAATGGCTCTTTCTGTGGTTTTTAGTACTATGAGCTTGTGCATCTGTGCAAACTCTCCAGATCTAGTGATGAGCTTCAGCCTTTAAGAACGCCCCTGCCCCCACCCTGTGGAACAGTCATGGGTGTTGTATTATAGACCTGCCAGCTTAGGCTTGTCTAATGTAAGAGACCAGATGAGGCAGCTTGGAAGAAATCAGGCTATGCCCTCCCACCCCCAATGGTGAACACACACACACACACACACACACACACACACACACACACACACGATCTGACTGTTTAAAGCACCCAGCCTCTGTGGGAAAGGCAAGCTCAGCCCCACTTCCTTGTTGCTGCATGATAAATTTATGCTCTTATATGGTGCTAGTGCCTGCTCCTGCTCCCCTTTGCCTGTAGGGTAGGCCATAAGTCACATTGTGTGGAACTTCCAAAAAGCTCTGAGTTAGAAACCTCCTTTGTTCAGGGGATTTTGAAAGTTCTTTCCTTCAGGCCTGGCCATGCTGTTCATGGCAGCTGTCTCTCCTAACGTAGCTTCTTCCCATTTTAAAGGACAGGTTCTTTGTCTCCCATTAAGGAAGGCCCTATCATGCCATCTCTAGTGTAAGCTATATCTCTCCTGATGGTCTCCTCCTTCACAAGGCCTGGTCATGACCCCCTATGATCAGTCTCTCTGTCTGTGTCTTCCCTGCTCCCACCCTCCATAAAGCTCATCTGAAAGGTCACCCCACATCAGCTCTTTTCTCAAACCTACGTCTTTAAGTTAGAAAGTGGAAACCTCAAACAAGTCCCTGGTTCCTCCGTGCCTCCATGTTAGCTGGGAGTGAGCAGTGATGGTCAACAGCGCTGTCATGAGATTGCGTGAAATAGCCCCACCACAGCAGCTAGCGGGCTTTACTCCGAGGAGTAAACACTAGTTCACTCTCCTGCCCTGTGGGTCCCTCCCATTTTGTGTTTATAAGCATAGATACGTTCTGATAAAAACTGAGAGTGTACTTGAGATTGCTAAAAATGATAGCAAACTGTGGCTGTAACAGTCATGATTAGGGATGGCTGAGAGAGTAAATCCCTTGGTAATGAGTTATGAGGAGTGTGAAAGGGTGGTAATCAGGAGTTGTCAGGGCATGGACGCTCCATGGTCAGGAGTGTCAGCTTGTGGTCAGGAGCAGGGCTCTCCACGTGGTGCTCACATGAGTGCCCTGCTGACGTTCAGTGACCGAGGGCCGAGCTTCGTGTTTTTTCTGATTATTTTTTTTCTTTATAGAAGATTTACTGGATGGTGTTCTTGAATCCGATGATGATGAAGATGAAGACGATGAAGTAAGTTGAAGGCTCTTAAAACAACACAAAAGCTCTGCTGTACTCCTCTGTGTCCCAAACACTTAGGCAGAAGTGGAGTCGTCCTTCCTCTGTGCTTTTCCTGGAAGTTCTGGGGTTAGTGGAGACTTGGTGTGTGGTTCTGTCACCCTCACATGAAGTCTCATATGGCTGCTGCCGTCCTCCACAGCCTCTCTCCAGGTGGCTGGCATCTTCCACTGCTCCAGCCTGGACTTTTTGTGGGTCAAAAGCTGGGCTCCCAGAAGGAAGGAGCAAACGTTTCTCAGCCTTAAGTCTCAGGACAGCACTCCTTCAGCATTCTCCTCAGCCTGCATCTAAGCCCAGTCCAGACGGGGGAGTCGACACAGACCTTGTAACACATGCACACGCCACAGATGGAGCATTGCACCTCCTCTAGCTTCAGGAGGAGGGAAAAATGGTTCTCTCTCTGTGAGGTTTTTGCTCTCATGTCCTCCCCTGTTTCCTTGGTGACAGGAATGATGACAAATAGGCCATGATGAGATGCTCTGGACTAAAGAGCCCTGGTTTTGTTTGGAGCTGGCAGACCCAAACATTCTACTGTCCTATGTTTATTCTTTGGGTGTAGGTTTGCCGGCTATGACAAACCTGGCCCCGTCCTCAGAAGTTAGTTGGCATGCAGAGTCTGAGTGGGGTACTGTAGAGAACCATAACTTGGAGGCTGCAAGCAGCGGCTCAGATGATAAGGTTCTGTGTAGCTTTCCCTTCAGACCTAGAAGGTACAGACATGTCATCCTATCATTTTTGTGGTGACAGCATGGCTTATCTTCATTCTGTACATGGGGAGCAGTTAGTACAAGATCTGAACGCTGGGAACTCTATGGGGAGCATCTGCCCCATACATGGATGTGAGAAGATGGACATATAGTTGTGGTTCTGTTGTCAGTTTAAAGTGTTCAGGAAAAGCAAGTTTGTATTCCCCGGAGGCATTGGTTAGGCCATAGTTACTAAGCATCTGCCAAGGTAACGAACTTCTCCAGCAGCCCTGTAACCTGCCTGCCATTCCTTTTCTGGGCTGCAGGTGGCACCAGCAGGCACTCTTGCTTCTCTTCCTGCCTGATGGAGCAAGGGAGCCCCAAATCTAGCCACCGTCCTCTCCATGAGGACAGAGACCAGCCCTGTGCCACAGGAAAGCTGCTGTGGTGAAACTTGGCTTGGTGGAGTCAGCAGACTTTTGTAGAAAGGAACGCTGGTGATGTGTCATGCTGGGATAGCCACATGGTCTCAGTTTGAACCACTCAGTCCTGCCCTTTAACATACAGTGGCTGTTGTGAAACCTGGCTATTTGTGGACACTAAAAGTTAGAAGGCTGTATAATTTTCATGTCATTTAATCTTGTTTTTAGTATTTAAAAGCTTAAAATTTGTCATTCTCAACTAAACATAGTTACCTGCTTTCAAGGGAGTTGCTGCCATCCTTCCAGTAGAGCTGACACAGCCGCTGTGCTTCACTGGAGTAAGGCGCCCACTTTGTACCTGACCCTTGATCCTTTAGCATAGATTTGAGTTAATCGTTTTATTTCATTGACTTTTTGTCACTTATCTAAAAACAATTGCTGTCAAGGTGTGTTATTTCCCCTTCTTTGGGGACTTTGGTGTTTCTCTGGTTTATTTGGATGATTTGCTTGATATTGTTTGGAGACCAGGTCCTGGATCTTGCCCCAGCTTCCCAAGTGCTAGGATGGTCACCATGCCTGGCTTGTTCAATTGTTTTGTCACCAATCCTTTAGCTTTGTATTATAATGAGAACTCATTTGGTCCAAGCATGCTGGTTAGTCATGGGAATTCAGCTTGTGCGCATTTCCTTTTGGCAGTGTTGCAGTGAGCTATGAAACACACACGGACAGCGGGCTCTGGAGTTGCTGCTGCTCCATAGGTTTTTCTTTTCAGCACTGTCTTTGTCAGGGAGGGCCTCTGCTGCTGTGACACAACACAGTCAGAACTGTAGAGGAGGGGGGTATCTGGCTTAGCTTCCACATCACAGTTTGTGATCAACGATGTTAGGGTAGGCACTGTGTAAGTGGGATCCTGGAGGCAGGAGATGAGGAGAAGCCATGGAGTGCTGCTCACTGGCTTGTTCCTCATGGCTTACTTGGTTTGTTTTTATACACTCTGGACCACCTGACCAGAGACAGCACCTCCCACAGCAGGCTAGACCCTTCCACATCATCATCAATCAAGAGAACGTACCAGACTTGCCTACAAGCCAATACGATGGAAACATTTCTCACTTGAGGTTCCTCTTTGCAGATAACTCTAGTTTCTGTCAAGTTGACAAAAAACAACAATGACCAGGACTGAGGTTGGCACTTGAAAACATTTGTTGCAGAAGTTTCCTAGAAGAGGTTTTGTAGGAACAATGGAAGGACAGGACCAAAAGTGACACCGATGAATGCCTGGGCCAGCAGATCTGGGCTTCCCTCCTCAGTGACCCTCTCAGTGTACTGCCATGTTTTAGCAGGGGCCACCTGGGGATGTAAAGCCAGGCATTATGGGTGTAACTGTTCAGATAGTCAGGGAACAAAAAAGAGTGACAGATACTTAAATGTGAGGCTTGAGTGGCCGAGCCATTGTTCCTCTCATAGTGACAGCTCTGAAGCAGATAGCATGGTCAGTGTACCACTTAATTAGCAGTGCAAAAATTGTTTTTTAATTTGATGTTTAGACCCCACTCGAAGGCTGAGGTCAGCGGCAGCTGCTTGCTGACATGGGTCTGCAGAGTCATCAGGCACGAGATGAACTATGCTTGCCTTGCCATATGCAGAGCTGAGAACTGCATTTGCAGCATTCTGCTTCACTGTAAGCCCTTAAGGGGACTCGGATGCAAAATCTAGTTTTTCTTTCTAATGTCTAGAAATGCACCTGTTATCTAATGTGCAGAAACCTCAGTTACATTGAATATCCACCCGTATAGAGCTAGCAATACATCTTCAGACTTACAGACCACATAGGGAACATTGTAGTGAAGACAAACATAGCTGGGTGTGGGAGGCTAGCACTCAGGAAGGAAGCCGAGGCAGGAGGATGTTGAGTCCAAAACCAATATGGGCTACGTAGCAATACCTTGTCTCAAAAAAATCATAAATTTAATGTGAACAGTGCTTAAAGCAAAGCAAACATATAAACCTCCACGCCTGTGAGTTACAGACACACATATGTGCCCATGCAGCAGAAAGGTGTGGAAAGCTACACCCTCTTTATTGACATTTTTATTGCAAAGGGGGAAAGGAATGAGGAAGCGTGGGTGGGAGGTTAAGACAGGTCTTGAGCCTGTCCCAGGACTGCAGGCTGTCCAGCAGGGGGGAAGTAAGAAAAGGACAGTGGATATAGTAGGGCCGACATCAATTGCAGTTTGGGGTGTTGGATTGATGGGGCAAAAGCTCCCCTACAGTAAACTGAAGAGCATGAGAAAATGGCAGTGCTCAGGGTACCCCACTCTGCACACAGTGTGAACACATGCAGGAAAGGGGGAAGGAAGAAGGGGCATTTTGGTTTGGTTTAAGAAAGGATAAAACAGCATATCCACCCACAGCTGCCAGAAGACATGAGACTAGACAGTCAAGGTGAAGAGTGGAGGGCCTCAAAGGACACAGTTCTCATTATTATTATTATTATTATTTTTTTTTTTTTTTTTTTTTTTTTTTTTTTGTGGCTCATAAGGCTCCAGACCCATCTGGAAATGCAGTCACAAGAATGGGCAGTGCCAATTCACGGCTAGAGAAGGATTCAGATGCTTTGGAGAATTGTGTAATTTCACATGCTTATTTTATTTTATGTGCAGTAGTGTCAAGGTGTCAGATCCCTTGGAATTGAGGTTACAGACAGTTGTAAGCTGCCATGTGAGCGCTGGGGATTGAACCCGAGTCCTTTGGAAGAGCAGACAGTGCTCTTAACCATTGAGCCATCTCTCCAGCCCCACATGCTTAATTTTATGATTAACATGTGCATGGTGCTACTCAAGGGCCAGAAGCCCGGGTCCAGTGTCCTCACCCCCAAGGAGGTTTCCTTAGTATATGCTTGGATGAGGCTCATGGCTTTAGGTGGAAATAAAATGCCTTCCAGTACTATTTGAGAAGATTGATTTTAGGGCAAGTATTCTCTCCCTTTTAACAAAATAGGTGCTAATGCCAGGGGCAGCCAGCCGTGCACATTTGCTAGAGGGAGCCCTGTAAATAACCCAGCTTCCTTCCTCCTATCTTTATTATGTAGTGAACAAATATTTAAGGACCTTGAAGTAACCATGTTCTAGGAAATACAGAAGGATTAAAAAGAAAAAAATATCCCATGAGAATATGTGTGGTTTACAATACCTCCCCAGAGGAAATGGCAATGGTCGTGAGCCCAGGAGTTGCCACTGTGTGGCATTGCCAGATGGCCACTTCTGCTGAAGCACCTCGCCCGTGTTCCTGCCTGTGCTCTGCCCTGGGCTCAGCACTCTTCCATTCTCACACATGAGCAGGTACACAGGAGAAAGGTCACGCGCCAAGTTCCTGAAGCTAGTAAGTGAGCAGTGGAGCTGGGATTCATACTCACATGGTGTGAGGGGACCCTGGGGCCCTCCCGTCAGACACTGGTAGACAACACGTGATAGACAAGATAGACAGCAGATAAAGGGGAAGGAAATGGAAAGTGCTGTGGCGGGAGGGGAGGGTTCTAGAATGAAAGATAGGGCCTGGGTCAAGAAAAGCCTAAGGTGGAAGCTTTGGGTTGAAGGAAGGCACACACCAGAGACAGGAGACCACAAAGCATATGCTTGGCTCTCCCCGTCAGCCCCCACCCAGGAAAGGATGCTTATTACCTAGGCGTACATGGGCTTGCTCGGAAACACACAGACATGCGCATACATATGCTCCCATCTGTATGTTTTGGGAGTTTTGCAGATAGAGATCTAATAAAAATATACAGGTGTGTACATATGCACAATATGGTCTTTTCCTTTTGTTAATATTCTTTGGGAATCCTTCT